AAATAAAGATTATAATATTTTGAATAAAATCGAGCCTGATTATAACTATTTGTCACAATTTAAATGACTTTATATGAAATGATGAGATTTTAGTTTTTCACAAGTATAAACAGTGAGATATAATATATATTATATTTTAATTTAATTTTTAAATATTACATACAAATAATACAAATTTTATAATTAAATAACATAAATTTATATATGTAGATGGATAAAAAATTTTTACAAATAAGTGATGATCCATTAAATTATACACATATATTTCCACGTTTGATAAGCAATTTAAAATTCGCCTAATCTCTGTTCTCACAGATTTACTGGATCCTTTTGCGAAATATCTTTCTGTCACAATTACTGCTTCCATGGTAAATGTATTGTAAACCATCGCGGAGTTCCTGAATGCAAATGCACGGGCACGTTTAGCGGTGACCGCTGTGAGATAAATGTTTGCAATGGCTACTGCCTTTACGACGGCGAGTGTTCCGTCCAAAATGGAAGACCATTTTGTAGCTGTAAATATTCTAAAGGGACCCGGTGCGAAAAACCGAACGACATTGAGGAGATCTGCGCGATTTATTGCGCGAGCGATCACGTCGGATTACCAAGCATCAGCGTAACATCGTGCAGGTACATGCTTCTTAAAAATGGATGTCTTATTTTATATTTTATAATTCTATTTCCAATATTATTTAATAATAAAAAAATAATTGAAAGTTTAAAGATTACAATCGCTATTACGCTACAAAATATTAATATTTTTAATAAGATCGTTGTATTCGTAATAAGGTCGTTTAACAAGATTCAGAAAAAATACATGATTTTAAAAGTAACCGGTATATACATATAAATGTAGTATATCAATATCTCATTATATATCAACAGGTGTACAGATTTCAATCAAACGGCCGAAAGAATTACACTTACCAACAGTTTCCAGAATGGCATTCTGTTACCAATATTCATAGCCTTCACCATTCTATTTCTTCTAATGATCGCCGTACTTAGTTATTATATAAATAAATTACGGAGGCGACCACGAATCAAGAGGCACTATGTGGTCAGTAAAGGCATTACGCCGCTCACATCTCGACCGCAGATACCGGACAATCAGTGCGAAATTACCATAGAGAATTGCTGCAACATGAATATCTGCGAGACTGTGAGTGATATGTCTTCTAAATAACGCCCCACTTGATAACATGCGTCGTGTCAGCATTGCTGATACTAAAGAAACTTAAGACCGAATTTCGCCCATTCTCCTCGCGTTTCACACTTTGTTACGAATGCAAAATCATGACTCTTTGCAATTGCATTTATCGCACTTCTGTAATTATGATAAGTCATTAGAGAAGATACTATATTTGGCTCGATTGACAAGACACGCGATTATACGATTCAAATTCTACGATATTTTAACTTTGAATCTGATTAAAATATCTATTTTTCTCAGAGTTACTACTTTTACTTAGCTTTTTATACTATTAGTTCTTGAGGAAAGTATCAAATTAGTTTGTATATTATAAGTTATGAGCACGAATTTTTGAGTTAATTCTGTCAAAAAGTACTTATTTTTACATACTTTGCGTATCTGCGTTTAAAAAAAAAAGGAAATTTGGAATTGTTATATGCTATTTCTATGCTAATTTCTTTACTGGCAACATTTAAAAATAACCGCTTTCAGAACAGTATTGCGCTAGTATTATTTATCATGACTAATTTTTTTAATTATTTATTATTTAAATAATTTTATTTCACTTTTTATATAAATATATATAGTTATGCAATGCAAGAAATTATCTTGTCGATTAATTTGTATGACATACAGTAGACATTCTAGTTATTATTTAATTGTAATTTACTTGGCTTTATAAGCAATTTTTTATGACGATTTATTATACAACAATTTTTTACTTTATCGCTTTTACATTTCTTTCCTGCTTTAGTTAAAAATTCATATTAAGAGAATAGGAATAAATATATCATTGCTAATATTCTATATATAACTAAAAAAATCATTAAAATATTTTTATAATCTTATTATTTTATTTAATTTTGTAACAATAACTTTGACATGAAAAAATATCGGTATTAATTAATTTATTGTTTTATAACACATTTAAGAGAAGACAAAGTCAAATTATGCTATCTTCTTCACGAATGCGACTGTGTCGCTCGTAGATTTCAATTGCGTGCGCAGTGTCAAAGATCGAATTATATTAAGACTGAATCTGTTTTGTCGTTAAATTCTGATTAAGCAATCGACTAAATTGGAATTATAATTCTCCGTATGGTGTTAATTATACGATAATATTAATGGTTATAGTTTTGTTTTTTTTGCAGCTCTAAAAATACGATGTATATTTGTTACTTGAAATAAACGACGGTTATATTAAGAATAAGACTTTCTACAAAGACATCTTTAAGAATCATTTATAATTATTTGCAAATATATGATTCGATGCATTTGAGAAATAAATCTTCCCCGTGCTAAGCTATTTCTAAATTTATATAAATTTAATTAAATTCATCAACAGGATAATTTCGTTTCTTTTTACAGCCGTGTTTCGAACCGAAATTACGAAATGGTATGTCAAAGAGCAATAATGTGAAAAAGGAAGAGAAGAACTTCTTGTTGGATGATATGGAAGGTAATTCATGCTAGCACATGCTGCTCTTGTCTCGTCGCATGAAATGACGAAAACTCTGCACGAGCTCTGCATCGCGTCGGAGATCACATTCGCGGGACTGTTCCACGTTTATATATAAGACGGCGGCGAATTTTAGTATTGTTGTTAAGTTTAAAAATCTGTGTTGATGGAATGCGCACGAGCGCGCTATATCGACGACGATTTCACTCCAACTTGGGAAAGAAAGCCAAAGGTCTTTTTAGAAAGTCCTATTTATTAGTATATCATACACGTTAGAGCTGTGTTTTAAAACTATTTTTCACTTTAGTAATCATTAAATTTATCATTCGACGATATTAGACATTTGTTTTAGCAATTATAAAACTGAACATTTTTCTAAATGCCTGCCGATCGCAATCCCTCGTGCACAAGCAATACTAAAGTTTTAAATAAAGACGCGAGATGTTATAAAATTTGAAGATATAAATAATTTTTTTTTATTATGTTATTGAATCATTAATTTTATTATATTATTTTTTTATTATATTGTATATTATTATATTTCTCTCAAACATAATATAATTGAATTTGTTTCTAAAACAATATGAAAGAAAGAAAGAGAGAGAGAGAGAGAATTTTAAATTTAAAAATAAAAATATGAAAATTCATATTTAAAGTATAGAAATATTATAATTTTTAATTTAATAAAATATACAATTTTTGACAGAAATATACAGAATTTCAAATTCGTGAGATTGTATTATCAAACAAAAAAAGAAGATGAGAGGATATGATATCGATATTTAAAACAAGCGAAGAGATATACAGTTTAGAAAAAATTTGTTCTTATTCTATCTAATAGATTTACTTGCTGAGCAACATAATTCTGATACAAAAGATTTTGTAATATTTTTTTATAGTTTCTTATTATATTGCTGTTCGTTTCTCTTAAATCATTTAAAAGAGAACTCAAATGTGTGCAAAAAGTAGCTATCGCAGTCACAAGGGATGCGCAAAAGTTGCCTTAAGCGATAATTCTAATCATTGCTCAAAAGTACCGCTGAGTACATTCCTGAATGAAATTTAGATCGTGGCGTCGCAGAGATAAGTGATTCTCTTATAACATTTTTTGACTGAGTCATTTGTCAATGGCTTTACGGTACATAATTATATTAGTAATTTTATTGCGTCAGATCATTATATATTCAATAATTAATTCCATTTGTCATTCTTTGATACTTATCGCGTTGACGGGAATATTATCGCGTAAAAAGCTTTATATCTCGATTCGAAGCGCTTCTCTCTAACTTCATTCTCAGTTAATCTATTCACTTGGTTTGTATACATTTCCGTAATCATATTCAACTGCTAACCATTTTTTATCATACTGTGAGTACAACATACACGTGTATATATATGTATACATCTAATATTTATACGTGTACATATATGTATACATATATTTTTACGTGTACATATATATACATACATATATATATATATATATATATATGTGTGTGTGTGTGTGTGTGTGTGTGTGTGTGTACGTGTACATATATGTATACATCTAACATTTACGAATATATAAATGATGAGCTCGAGCTGGATCGTGTTTTACGCATCTATGATCCTTTAATGTGAATTTCTACCGCTGTTGAACATTAATTTACTTCGAGAAACGTTATGACGTAAATAGTAGTCATATGAAAATTCATGTGGCATTGTCTGGAAACTAAATGCATATAATATACGTATACATATTATACGAAATGTATATTAGATGAAACTAGAAGAATATTCAAAGAGTCACAATGTATGAAAACGATTCTCATCCTCATTCGAACATCGGATGTTCCCAGTGATAAAAAAATACACTGCAGATGTATAAAACTTTGTCAGAAGTTTCTAATATTTATACATCAATGATATCCGTGATTTTTAATTCATCTAATTTGAGGATCGTCAGAATCGTTTTTTATAGTATTGTTTAAAGATACCTGTAGCGTTTACTTTATTGCAGAACAATACTCTGTTTATTTAACTGCGAAAATTTTTGTTCTGTATCGATATGTGCAACGCTGAGCCAACTTTTAAATCTTTCTTCCAATTTTATTCCGTCGCGAGAATGAAAAATATTTATCTTATCATTTTTATGTCGCATGTAATTATGATGGTTACAGCGCACATATAGTCATGTGCGAGGCGAATGTACAAAATGCAGTATGCACCGCACTTGTATGTTAAAATTGATTTTATTTTGGTTATTCTATTCTTATACGGAGAGAGGATGATCGCAAATTTTTATTTTTGTTTTTTGGCCCACATTTTTGCGCAAATCAGTCATAATATATAGTAGTTACTTAAAGCGTACAATCTGTTACGTACACCAAAGTTACTTTTGTTAGTAATAATAACATGAAACAGAGTACAATATTATTGGTTTGCAGAAATTATATCGCATATTAACTTAAGACATAATTAGACCATTTACTGTGCCTATGTTATATGGAAGCATATGTATGGAAATGTTGTTCAATTCTAATTTCGTTGTAAAGTGGCAAACCAATGATTATTATGTTGTTCATTTAATTGTTTATTTATAGAATTTATATTATTCTTTATGATACGGAATAATGTTCCTGTCGTTGTGACAACAGATTATTCACATGACGATGTTTTCTGTTCCTGTATACGGTAGATGTTACTTAAAGAAAAATTGTTTTATTTGCTTTTTAAATCTACTATATAATTTTGTACTAAAGATTTGCGACATTTGCTGACTTTATATATATGTGTATATACACATAAAACATACCTATACACATAACACACACACACACACACACACACACACACACACACACACACACATATATATACAATTTAAATATGGAAAAATATATATGTATGAAAGTTGCGCGATCTATCTATATTGTATTGGAAGATAGCCCTCTCCCACACACTCATCCCCAGAGACGGGATAGTGGATTTATGGTGAAAGGGTTATATTCCTGAAAAATATAAATGCCATAAAAATGATGTATAATATGCAATATGTTTCTGTACAATTTTGTATTATGTATTCGAAATGATGAAATTTGTTATATGCAACATCTCAAATTTATTAGGTTAATTATTTATGCAGAAATATTAATCTATTATCCTGAACATTTAATATTTGATTTCTCTATTCTTTCGAATGTAATATATTTTCTGTATAGAAAAAAAAATTCGAGAATTTATTGCATTTATTTTAAATTGCGTACTTAATTTGATGTTTTAAATTGTACTTAAATCATAACTAAATTATTAGATTCTTTAAATTATTAAATATAACTTTAAAAGTAACATATTGCATATTTTGCATCTCCGTTTACAATGGTTATAATGCTGGTTGCTATTGTATACAGATTAAAATGAAATAAAATGGATTATCTCTTATTATTGCAGGTGTGTCATTATTATGTATACCTTTTTGTCAGAAAAACTATGATAAAGAGATTTGAATTATAATTTAAATATACATCTTCGTGTAAAAAACAATTATATTAGATACATACAAAACATTAGAAGAAATGAGCAATTAAGAAAAATATTGAAATGCCAGATTAACTGACATCCTATATTTTTGTAGGTTACGTATTATATCTTCAGATTGACTATGTCATGAATTTTATCCGAGCTGATAAGGAATTTTCATTTCGACTATTACTGTATCACGGATAATACTAAATATATCCCATTTGAAAAGGCATTTGAAAAGGCATTTTATCTTTTCACAACTGCTTATAGGAAGGTTGAAGAATTTGATATACATATATCAGGCACTATATTGTATAGAGCATTTTGTCTTTTTGAACGAGTTAACCGAATAAGAATTCTTTTGTGTCCCGGCGTATATCTGTTCATTTTCATCAATAACACATAGATATTTACACTAAGATGAATATGTGTAAAATTTTTTGGAATTGAAATTGGTGCGAAACCAAGAATTCGACAAGATTGACAAGATTGATAGATAGATATGATAGATACTAACGAAGGCCAATCTGAATTAGGCTTAATATTAATATAAGGAGAGCGCTCCACCATGAAAGCTCCAAGAGCAAAAGAAACAATCGAACGCTGGTACTCGTGGTAAAATGGCATCCGCATCTCTGAAGGGCACTCGCAAGACATACAGCTTCGAGGAACGAAAAATCTTGATATCGTTGATAAACAAGCACGAGGTCGTCCAAAATAGGAAGTCAGATCCGATCTCCATATGCAAACGAAAGTCGGCGTGGTCGCGAATCACCGAGGAGTACAATTTGATAGTAGGATCCCGGGGCGCGCGTTCGACCATACAGCTCAGACGTTGCTGGGAGAATATGAAGGCCTGTAAGCGTAATCGCGATGAAAAAAAATTTCGGTAATTCAGTATTATGAAGCAATTGTTCTCGAGATTAATTGAGCTTAGCACAGAACTTAGTAGATAATGAGATGTAGTTTGATGAAATTCGTATCTTGGCTTTTGCTTCTAAGAGTTAGAATAAAGAAGACAGTAAAATTTTAAATTTGAATAAGTTTTATTTTTAAGAGAAATCTATTTCCAGATTCAGAAGTTTGTTAGCAAGTAGTTTGTCTCAGTAGTGTAAAAAAGAACAAGGCCCAAGAGAATAAATATTAAAATCTTTTGATCTCTTAGTGATAATATAAAAGCGGTTTGTCAATCGACAAAAGACAGGGCGAGAAATCAATGTTGGGAAGGTATAACTTGTGGTCAGAATGTCCCAAAAGCACCAATGTCTACCGGAACTGTTGGTTTACCACCAAATGTAGTATTCGAGCCGAAGGATTCAGAACCATTCACATTGCAAAGTGTTTGCACTGCTGGACCTCAAAATTCAAACTGCTCAAAGAAGGATGTAGACAGTCACGAAAATTCAAATTGTAAATATGCTTTTTCTGGCTTCTTCGACATTTAGTGTAGTAGTCTTTTTAAACGTAGTTTTTGAGAAAATAATTTGAGCAATTATACAAATAAGGAAAGTTACAACAATAATTAAATATCAGTGAAGGAAAAATGTGATAAATGATATATTTTTATGAATAAAGTAGTTTTTTATTTGTATATTGTTAATTTTTTAAATATTTATTTATTATTTATTTAATTTTTTATAGCTTTATTAAAAAGTAACAAA